ATAAGTTGCAACTGAGTTACCTAGACTTTGAACGGTGCCCGAAGAAACAATAGACTGACGGCAAGGAACAACTGAGACTGTCTAATTCATGAGTTCGGATGAAAGCTGTCTTCGTAATTACAAAATCAGTAAAGCAGATTGAGCACCATTGAAACCCCAGCACCGTAACCACTACTCGGCACCCACTCTGTAGTGACATATGGAGTCGCAGCATGAAATATCGTAGCCAGTTTCTCCGCAAAATATCCATTTTCATTCTATCATCTTGGGCATGAGAGAGATACTTTCTTTGCTCTTTGGAAGGCTCCTCCCAACAAGTCCCATTATTTTGACCGCGCAGTCCAGCTGTGATGACTATGCGCCACTACCAACAAGAGGTAACTGCTAGGTACCTTGGATGCAGGTGTCGATTCCTTTGCATACATGGGGTGGCTGACCTAGAGGCGGAGACCTGTTGGTACCTACCCACACGCAAGGGGGGCCGATAGCGCAGCAGTGTCTCAGTTACACTAGGTCGGTATCAATCATTTGACATGCACTGCCATGGAGCCTACTCAGCTAGGACAGATTATCGTTCTTCAACTGCCATCTGTCGCGGCTGTTGTCTGACTAGATAAAGAACGTTTGACCTGTCTCCATCATCACGGGCATGCCGGCCACTGCCAATGCTCTCAGCACGGTCGGGTAGGTGATGTTTATCCAGTGCTTCTGTGCCTCTGTTCTCCACTGCGCCTCTGGCCTCATTAATGACTCTTTTTCACGTTCGACTGTAATAATTATATTGTCATCGAAAGGTTTCTAGTTCGATTCTGGAACGGGAGAGCTTTGATATTTTTTGTTCTTAGCCTATGAGTACCCATTATTAGCGCGGGTGTAGGGAACGAAATTGAGAGTCGAGGGGCGTGGCACGCTTATCGGCATGCTTTTACTTTACTTATTTCCCGCTCAATGCCGATAGCGGATTGATGAATGCCCGAACACGGTAGTATCAATAACTCATTCAATTAGCAATGATGCCTCTTGCCCATAAGCCTAATAAATTTGTCGCAACTAACGGATACTCTTTCTTCAATTGCCATTGCGACTGGCATCGTTAAAACTTGACGAGACGTTGAAAGCGTCTTTACGTTCCATCGTCATGGACATACCCGCCGCAGCCAATGCCCTCGGCACACTTGGAGCGGTAAGTACCCATCTCATCCCATCGTCACTAGAGATGAAGTAGGAAGAGCTCACACTTTGCAGGTCTGCTGGTCTATTCAGGTGCGTCGTATTCACAATCAGATCTCGGACCCTTTGCCTGACGGTCGGCCGTTGCGTAGCTCATCCCACAAATTGTCATCAACTATCGCCGCCATAATGCCACCGGTCTTCAACCTTCGATGATGATGCTGTGGGCCTGGGCCGGCGTTCCACTGGGTGTCTACAACATCGTTGAAGACTTCAACATTGCCCTGCAGATCCAGCCCCAGATCCTCACGTTTCTGAGTCTCGCAACTTGGATTCAGTGCTTCTACTACCAAAGAGTAATATCTCCCATGCCATTTCTCGCCTGAATTTCAGGTGTCTTACTGATTTCGTCCCTAGAACTGGTCCATACTCCGCTCTCTCGCCGTAGTAGCCCCTATCGCAACCGTCATGGCCGGAGTCCAAGTGGCCCTCGTCATCGGCCTCCGCATCGTCAAGACCCGCGGCGTAGAATGGCCCATGATCCTCATGGCTGCCCTCTCCGCCGCCCTCCTGGCCGCCGGAGTACTCCGACACTACTGGGACATCTACCTCCACCGCACCGTTCGCGGCATCTCCTTCATCTTCGTCGGTATCGATGCCGCGGGCGACGTATTCTCTCTCGCGTCCCTCTTTTTCCAGAGCCGGCTTGATGTGTTGGGGGTCGTCATTTACGCGACTGAGTTTGTGCTCTGGTGCGGGGTGTTTGCTTGTGGAGGATACTTTAACTTGTTGCCCTGGACGCGGCAGAGATTGCGGGCGAGGGAGGAGGCTGGGAGGTCGAGCGAGGGGGAGACGCCGGGCTCAGATGCTGTGGCTAACGGCATTGCTTTGCACGATTTGCCTTCTTCGACGTCCGTCTTCCGGACTGCGTCCGGAGACGATTCTGGGCTCCGATCCAGAACGGTCGCTTCGCTATAAGCCCGGAGGAAGCCGACTGGAACATCCAATGCAACGTCTACTGTGGGAAGTCGAAAGCAAGGCAATTCTCCGTCATCTTCACAGGCGTAAGAGACGATATCAACGCCATCGATGTCCCGGTAGAGCGCCGGATGGGGGAACACCAAATCCTATCTTCTTCAACGAGACCGTATCCGTATGGTTTGGCAAGAGATGTTGTACACTAGGGTTCTCAGCACAGGTACTCGATAGGTCAGTACTAGCTCTAAGAACATTGCATTATAGCTCTATAATACTACTGATTCCTGTGGTATATTGTGTTTCCCTCAAGCGATTCCTACTTGCTTTCCTGTCTTGGTTTTCACACCTACACAGCGTGTATTATTCTACGAATCGAATGCTTCAGCCCTGACTTTCCAGGCCCATACACTTCTTCTTGTGCCTTCTCGTGCCGGATTGACGCGAATTCCGTTTCAAAGTCCATCTCACCTACCGTAATTACTCGAGACTTAAGATAGAATTTGAAGAAAATGTACAGGACTGATGACAAAGCATTAGTCCATGAACATGGTGTTAAAGAAGGGGGCAGGCAACTCACTTGCAAAGATGAAGACATTGAGATAGCATGTCAAGAACCCTGAGGCGGTAAAATTTTCGGTTGTGAAGACATCGAAGCCTGGATGATGGTATGAGTCAGGGATGACTTAAAGTATTGCAATGGTAACATGAAGATATGCGGAGGCTTACCTGAAAAGAAGACAACAAGGATGACCATCACTAAGGTCGCCCATGATATATAGGGCTGGCCAGGAACCTTGTATGGAAGCTCTGTTGAAAGACGTAAGCTTAGCGTGTACAGTGGACAACCACCACAAAGAATCTCTCACCATCCCTAGAGTAGCCTTGTGCCTTAAGCCCAGCGAAGAACCGAATATACGTGATCTCAATAACGATCCAACCGATTAGACCGGCAACCGTTGTAATGTTGACAAACCATCCAAAGACGACAGAGGTGTTGTTGGCCACGTTGAGGTAGACAAGCGGCATGAGGACGCAGGTCAACCCTACCGCGTAGTGAGGTGTCCCGAACCTGTTGCAGCGCTGAAGGACCCTAGGCGCGTGCCCATCGCAACTGAGACCGTAGAGGGTTCGAGACGCGATGAAGACGCAGGCGGAGCCGCTGCTAATGGCGGAAGTGCAGACCACGGCGTTGATGATTGACGGCAATACAGAGACACCGGAGCGGGTGAAGGCGATGACGAAGGGGGACTGCTGGGCGGTACCGGTCGAGATGCTGAGTGACGGGTCGTTGGATGGCCTATCTTTTCGTCAGACAAGTCCCTCGAGTAGCGTCCCTACACGGAACTGAGCTTCTTACACAATCATTCCCACAATCAGAATGCTGAGAACATAAAAGAAGAATACGCGAAAGAAAGTCTTCCTCGTAGCTGCTGGGATGATTTTTCTCGGTTGCCGAGTCTCGGAACCCGAGATAGCAACGACTTGAATATTGCCGTAGCTGAAAGCCGCTGAGAGCAAAACTTTCCAGAAAGCCAAAAAGTTACCAGATGAGCCTGTGACTAGATAACTGTTGAAGGCGCCGGGGTCCTGCCAGTATCGGAAGCCTATGCGGTCGCCATTGGGGCCGCCACCGAGATCAATGACCAGGCCGCCGATGATGAGGCCGATGATTGTCATGATCTTGAGAGAAGCGAACACAACTTCGGTCTGTTGGTCTTGTAAGTTGTAAAGCTTTTTGAGTTGAAGAATGGTATCTTACTTCACCGTATAGTCGGACGCCGCAGAAGTTGACTGTGATGATAAAGACCAGGAAGATTGTGATCCAAACCCCTGGGTTTACGGATGTATTCCAGAATTGAATCAGAGTTGCAGCGGCACTGATCTCAGCAGGAACTGAAATCGACATGGTGTACCCTATTGTCAAGTCAGGACTATGCTTCAACTCGCATGACTTACAAAGCTCATGGCTTTGCACTTGAACTTACAAAAGTTCCAACCAGTGGCTGCACCGAGTGCTGGCTCAACAAACTTGGTCGCATGGCGAATGAAACCACCAGTCGACGGCATGAAGGACGTGATCTCCCCCGTTGTATACGAGACGCCGGCGGTGACGAGCCCCATAACGATGTAAGCCAAAAGTGCTCCGGCGGGGCCTGCAGTGGCTATGGTTGTACCAGAGCTCAAGAACAAGCCCGTTCCCTTGATTCAGCATTAGGCGACAAACCATCCCACCAAATGGTCGATACTGAGTAGACTCACAATCATTCCCGCAATTGCAATCATGTTAATATGCCGAGACTCCAAGTCACGCCTGATTCCCTCACCATCTCCGGGGATAGAGGTGCTCTGGCCGGAGCCGGAGTCCACTTCGGGAGTTGCACCAATAGTGGTCTCGCCCTTTTCCTTCCCCTCCATGATGGAAGAGTTGAACAGAATAATAAGAAAAGTGTAGGGCTCAAATAGGATGGCCTCGTAAATCTGTTGGAGTTCAAGGATGCATCTCGTTGCGACTTCTTCCGAGTAACAGGATGGGTTGATCAACATTATGAATAACACAAGTGTAAGCACCCAAAAATCGGTCCTGATAACGCCCCCGGAGCTGCCATTCAGGGTCGTAGGATAGGCGCAACTCCGCAACCAATCGGGCGCTGGGTCGCTGTCAACGATCGACTTTGAGTTGCCGGTGCCAGGATCAAGCTTCGGCTTGAGATGCCGGTTGATAAGCCCCGTTGCGCGTAAGTGCGGGGATAGAACGGCTTCAAAGATTGGATAAAAGCCTGGGGAACGCGATCCCGGACTTGGCAGCTCTGTCACAGGGCATTCAACGATAAGTCTTGACTAGGTCAAGCATCATGGCAACCAATTCTTCTTCAAGTCCCGAGGACGCCTTTCAGCTATTCGACTTGCGGGTCGAGGTCGTCTGCCCACCAGGCAAGAGGATCATGTGTGGTGCCAAAGAAGGGGATTACTTCACGCTGAAGGGTGAGATGTTGTATCTGCCACCAGACCAAGGCATCAGCATATACAGCTTATGTACGCGAACACCGACCCATTCCTACTCCAGAGTCGCAATTGCTGATTCTCGAAAACAGCATCGGTGCTACCCCTACTCGCTGCAAAGCAACGAGTAACTGCCAAGAACGACTGGATGACAACCGATGCGTTGATCGCATGCCCGGATCCCTGCTGTCCTTCCCAGCTGAAGATTGTCCGAGAAGGCATCAGAACGTTCCGTCACTCAGAGACTACTGCCGTTCCTTTGAGCAACGCCGATGCGCCCAAGTAGAAGTCTTGTACAGACACATGCACTTAACCTCATCTTGGTCTTATCGATGTTCAAGCAAAAAATACACCATCCTGAGCATTGAAACCAGCTTCAGCCATGAGTCCAACCCAGGTTTCATCATCTGCAAAATCCAAACTCAGTGCGTCTTCCGCCTGGCTGAAAGCTCGACCTGAAGTCACGGCATACCCGATCCCGCGTGTCGTGTCCCGCTCGCCAGCCCGAAGCGGGTCACGATGCTCAGGAAGATCTGTTACCGTCGACGCCTCGGCTGAGGGCTTGGAGATTCTAGCCAAGATGTTGTCGAGAAACCTTGACTGAAGTGCGCAACTCGAGCCCGGCGGCGCAGCTTGCTGGGAGAAAACCAAGGCTGCACCCGAGATTGCACTTTGAATGGCTGGTTGAATTTGGCCGGCGATGGAATGGGACGTAGATAACATGAGCTGGATTCCAGTCAACCTTCAAATAAAGAAGAACAGTAGAAACCTTCCAAGTGGTCTAACCTTGATCAAGAATGCTGCACTATAGGCAGTCATCACATGAACAGAGTCTTGGGTAAAGTAAAGCCAAGAAGAGTGACGGCAGATGAGATGCAGCATCTCCAGGGCACTTGAGTAGCTAACCCAGAGAGCCTCCATATGGTAGGTCATGTTTGGATCCGACTGTGCTAGGATGTCCTGTAATGGCAAAGAGAACAGTTGTAACTTGAGGTGTGTGCCATAGAACTGGATTAAAAAGGGATGGCAGCTGTCTAGTTGGAGGCTTTAGCTAGCTAACTTTCATGGCTTGGGATTTGAGCATACCTGTATCTGCGACCCTGAGCCACCTCGTCTCCCACTCCTCGATTCTGCTCTTGATAATTGCGAGGAGAGATTCGAGACTGTGTAGTTGTCTGGCGCGAACTCGACTTGACCTCGGTCCTAGTAGCCTGAAAACCTCTGAACTCAACAGTCGCAATGTTACCAGCGCACCGAGCAGGCAATCACCAGGAGTAGCCATTGCATCTTTACACCATGGCTCAATAGACTCGATGAACTCACTTCGTTCAATCATCCACGGCTTTCCAGTTTGTAAGCTCATACTACGCCCTATTAGCTCTTGGGCTACCATCTTCGCTCAGTCTTGGTCTCCATCTTACCTTCGATCGTAGACAAAGAGAATTAGCCAGGTTCTCTCGATGTTCCTGGCTTGACGTCGCTCCAAATCCATGGCCGCGTTTGATTGCGGCGAATAAGGAGCCAGCCTATGCCAGCCCAATTCCATGCCCATCCTGATCACGTATCCCAGGAGCATCCAGGCACGTGTGTCTTCAGACTCTTTCCAGTAGGTCAAAATCATCACCGCTTGGGCAGTCTCAACTGACTTGGTCCCTTTCCTGAACGTAGAGGCAAGGAGACCTTCTGCATGTTCGCGGAGTTTCTTGTATAGAGCAGGATTGAATGCCTTTGCGGCTGCTGCTAGGATTGCCGCGAGAAGGAATGAAGACTCCTGTCGGATCCGGCTGAAGGTGTGCAGGTATGGGTCCAATTGGCTTATGTATGGATTAAGAGACTCCATGAAACTATCCGCAGGTTACTCTTGTCTTGTCGTGGCGAGAGCGGAAAGGGAGAAGCTAGAGACGAAGATGCTTCAAAGGGGCGGGGTGGAACAGGGTTGTGACAGGTGCGTTGGCATTCTTGGACTCACTTTTCGAACAGAGACGAGGCGATGGAAGAATTGAGGAGACCAAGTTGAATTGGATCATCTGCAGGGATCCGCGACTCTTCATGCTGTGCCTCTGAAGTGGTCGATTCTGAAGCATTCAATATGCTCCCAAGTGAGAAACTGCCTCGAGTGGCTGCACGACTGAACAGCCCAGCAGGCTGCAGGCTTCCATTGCTCCAGTCCGGACTTCGTTGAATTGCCTGCGTCGGTTCACTTCTCTCTTCAATCTGCCTTTGCTGTACCGACTGAGAAGAAGCGGCCGGTGCTGTCGAGATCTGGGCTTTGCGCTTGGGCGTAATTCTTGAACTGTTAATTGCTGTAGCACTGTTTCTCCAGGTGGTACGCACCGAGTCCCTGGTTTTCTTCCACGGCGGTGATCTTGGAAAATGCACGTTAATGACTTCCGGGTACATCGATCGCAAACCGTTGCATCATCTGCGGTGATGCATTTCATCTTGACGCTCCTGCATTGAAGGCATGCTTTGGAGCTGATCGAAGGCATGTCTGTCAGTCGGCGCAGATGTTGCTGGCATCACAGACCGCTGCGTCTTACACGGGCTTGAGAAATGGCGATGCTTGGGTATGTTCCATTGTGCATGCTGCTTTCCTGTGCTAGATCGCCGGCTACCATTCGTGAAGTCAACACTAAGGATGACCGGCAGTTGGAGTCGATAAGGCTAAGGGAGGGAATTCGCCGGCTTCGGGGGTGCTGTGAACCCTTTTCGGATTTCTTTCCCTATCTTCACCCACTTTTCTCCCCGCCGTTCCCTGTGGTCTGACGTGGGTGAAGATAACCGAGTATTGAACCGGCAAGCTACCGTCAGACTCATTGATCGCCGATGGCTACTGGTAGTTGAGATGAATGCCGGCGGATGCTAGCTCGAAAACAGGGTTCAGCTTGTCCCTGCAGCAGCAGCATCGCCCATTTCGTTGGACACCTAAGAGAAGGCTTACAGGGAAGCTGTCGAAATCGAAGACTGAAGATAGGACATAAATTTTGTCAAGAGGCCTTCAGAAACTCATTGTCACTCACCTTTCAAAAGACAATACAATCGAAATGGCGGCAAAACCAGAGGGCCAAAGCGCCAAGACGGCGCACGTCAACATGATGACGGACACCATTATCACGAACCTCCCCGCTGCGAACCTACGGGTCATCATGCGCTCACTATTGGCCGCGCACCCGGACGTCACCACAACTTTCGAGGCCGAAACCCGGACTTACGTCAGAGATGTAGCGTTACTGTCAGCTCAAGGAGAGTTATCTTCGGAAGCAACTTTGAGAAAGACTCAGGCAACAATTCGTTGCATGCTCGGATGCGGGCTCAGTCTTGAGAGCATTCCGCTCATGACCAGGGTGGTAAGGGGCGGCATCAAGCTTCTCGTCGATCCAGAGACTACCAAGGAGAAAACGAATGCTGTCTTGGCATCAGTCGATGGTGATATCGTCCAGATTATGACCGCCGTTGAAAAAAGGCTGCTAGCTGCTGCGCGCGAAAGTCTGATAGACGATGAGCGCGACGCCGTGACCAATTTGCACGAGTCTCTTCTCGAGTCTAGAGCCATCATAGAAGAGAAAGGAATGGAATACCCCTATACGAGGGCACTTTTTGCGACTTCCATGCTTCTTGGAGTGCCACTTCCAGTCCTCGATATGCCTTCAATCGGTTCATCGGGCCAAAGCGCGTCTCTTGCAGGCCCTGTGGCTGCGAGGGAGACGTTCGAGATGAACGGCTTCAGATTGCCTAGATTATTCACCGGGCTTTGGCAAATGTCTAGTCCATCCTGGGGCTCAGCACCTACATCCAAAATCATTGCCCAGTTCTCCAAGCACGTGGAAGCAGGTCTTACAGCCTTCGATATGGCGGACCACTACGGTGATGCGGAAATCATCTTTGTAAGTCTCATATGATACCATTTCCCTCGGAAGGTGATACTGAATGAGTTAGGGTCGTTTTCGTTCGGCGTATCCCTTCAGCGACTCGACGTTCGCAGCGACCAAGTACTGTGTCTTCAACCCAATGGTCGTTACACGTGCCGCCGTGCAAGCCAACGTAGCTGAAAGGTGCCGGAGATTGCAGACAGATAAGATCGACCTGCTTCAATTTCATTGGCAATTCGTAAGTAGCCATATAGGCCTGCCCGGAATTTTGATGGTGGCTAACTGAGGCCCATGACAGTATGAAGACCCTCAATATGCGGAGGCGTTGCGATTTCTTGAAGAAGACTCGCGCGTCAAGGCTTTGGGGCTATGCAACTTTGATGCTGAGCATATGCAAGTCGCCATAGATAAAGGCGTCAGAGTACACTCAAATCAAGTACAGGTATGCTGAACTCCCGCCAACTGAAAGGCTAAGGGGCTGAAACTAATGGGCCCTAGTTTTCGTTGATCGATAGCAGGCCCGAGGTCCGCATGGGCAAGGTCTGCCAGGAACATGATATCAAACTCTTGACATACGGAACACTGGTAAGCTCCAGGAGATGACTGGTATGATTCATCCGCTCGAAGGCTAACAGCTGTCGATGTAGTGTGGTGGGTTCCTCGCCGAGAAGTGGCTAGGAAAGGGGCAGCCGGATCTCTACGACGAGGCGATTACGCCTAGCCAGCGCAAGTACTACGCTATGATCCGAACTTGGGGAGGCTGGGATCTGTTCCAGGATCTCTTGAAAGTGCTTAAATCGATCGCGTCAAGACACAGCGTCAGTGTTTCCAACGTGGCCACTCGTTGGGTGTTGGACTTCCCCTACGTTGGGGCAGTCATTGTTGGGACTAGGATGGGCATCAGTGAGCGCGCGGATGAGAACCTGGCGAGTCTAGGATGGTCTCTAAGCCAGGAGGATCGAGACCTAATTGAAGAGGTATTGAAGAGGAGCAGGAGGTCAGAGATGTTTGACGCGATGGGAGACTGCGGAGGGGAGTATCGCTAGTACTCAGCTGTTGATACGGGTCTTACTTAGGAGCCTTTCGATGGTGTGAAGAGTTTTTCTAGCTACCGCGAAATTATTAATCCCTGTTTTGCATAAGATCCATCTGATTAGAGGCCCTAAAGACGAAGATGGTGTCTGGTCGGGAACTCCCTCAATCGCTGGCAAGGATGGGCACGAGGAAGGTATCAGAGGCTGATCCTTGAGAAGTAAATGATTTACATTCTGGGAAACCACACTCTGGTGGATATTAATCTATCAAGTTTCTATACAATGCTTCTTTGATTCGAGGGCAATCAATCTTAACATTATTCACCTTCAGGAAAAGGACTCTAGCCTCGGCTCAACTCTACCACCTGTCTCTCCTGGATACTTCTCGCCGAGAATCCCACGAGAACCTCATATTGACCATCTACAAATATCCAGGCCTCAGTCAAAGTGTCCCACACCATGAGATCCTCAATTTTCACCAATAACTCCACAGCCTTGGTCTCCCCAGCTTGGACCTCGACTTTTTGAAAAGCCCTGAGCAACTTTGGTGGCTCCTTCGCAGCGTCCGGGAATCCAACATAGAGCTGAACGACCTCTTTTGCCTTGCTATTTCCTTGATTCAACAAGGTCGTTCTGACGAGTATAGCGCTGTAATTTGATGATACCTCCAGTCCGAATAGCCTAAAGTTAGAATACGTCAGGCCATGACCGAACGGAAATAACGGTTCGATTCCGCTCTGATCATAAGCCTTGTACCCCACATAGAGGCCTTCTTCGTAGGGCACTTCGATGTTGGTACTAATACGTATAGTGTCGTTGAGGTTCTTGGGGAAGGTCAATGGCAACTTCCCGCTCGGGCTTACATCACCGAAGAGAAGACGCTCTAACGCAAGCCCGACCTGTTGGCCAGGATACCAAATCTCCATGACGCCTTCGACTTGCTCAAGCCAAGGCATTAGAACTGCCGAGTTTGTATTCAGGACCACGACGGTTTTCTTGGAAATACTGGCGAGCCGGCTGATGATCGTGTCCTGGTCACCAGGTAGAGAGAGTCCAAGGCCGCTATCAGCCCCCTCAGATATCCGGTCTGAGGCGAAGATAATGCTGATATCTGCCCACTCGGCCAGCTCGTCGGCAGCTGTGTCTCGGGTCTGGTTGCCGATGTCTACTCCAAGACTGATCCCGTACGCACCAGTAGACAAAGAGTAGCCCATGTCGTATTTCAACAGAAGCTTGACCTCGGATCTCGCTTCAAGATACGCGGCGCCTTGAACATAGTTCCCGAAATTAGCATAGGACATGTTGGCCACGAGTTCGTCGTTCAAATAAAGCAGCGCAGTACCCTGACCATACATGGAGAAATGGTACATTCCTGTCGTGTTTGGAAGGAAGACCGCCTCATAGACAGCCGAAAAAACGTCTGGATATGCTTGCCAGAGAGCTGATAGATACGTAGCGATAGTAATGTTAGGAACAAGGTCGGTCATGTTGACAGGGCCAGTGAAGTCGGTCGTCTTGTAATACGTCACGTTGACGCCTCCATCTCTGAACATGTTCGAGGGAATTGTGGGAAACTGTCCAGTGCCAGGGTAAGCCATGGAATACTTGGCTGTGATATTTTCTGCATCTCCTCGACGCTTGATCGCATCGAAGGGTGCTTGAACAACCATGGTAGAGTCAATGACAAAGCCACCATGGTTTTCAGAGACCTGGTTCTCAGCAGTTGCTCCAATGCCAAAGACAGCAATTTTAGAATACTTTTCAGGAGAGAGAGGAAGGGCACTTTCGTCATTCTTCAGCAGAACTGCGCCCTCTTCAACCATTCGCTGCGCAAGATCCAGATGCTCCTGGGTACGCACGTGGGCCGTTGAGTCCCCAGTCACCGGATCGTCGACCTGTCCAAGCTTGAACATGTACCGCCAGATCCTTTGAACCATATCGTCAAGTCGCGCATGGGGTATCGATCCATTATTGATGGCTTCCACCAGTAGCTCGCCGTAGTAAGCAGGGAAGCCGTAGCTATTCGTCAAGTCTCCGCCGGGCATTGACATGTCGAGCCCAGCCATGACAGCAGCAACGGTGCTTCTTGTAGAGAAATACCAATCTGCAACCACAAATCCTTCAAACCCCCAATCTTGACGAAGAGTCTGGTTGAGAAGCCAGTCGTTCTCACAGGTGAAGAAGCCATTGAGTCGGTTGTAGGAGCACATGACACTCGCTGCATCAGCCTCTTGCACACTGGCTTTGAAAGCCGGTAGATAAAGCTCATGCATCGTCCTCTTGTCAACCACCGCATCGACTGTTACCCACTCTGGGCCGTTGCCGAAACGATTCGTATCCTGGTTATACGCAGCGAAATGCTTCGGGCACGCCAGAGCTCCTTGACTTTGAATGCCCATCGTACCGGCGACCGCCATACGGGCTGTCAGCCATGGGTCTTCGGACAGAGTTTCGGCAGCGCGAGCCCACAACGGAGAGCGAAGAATGTTGATGGTAGGCGCAAGGACGATATTGCGGCCTTTGCCCATGTGCTCTTGTGCGAGTGCCTGGCCAAATTCATACTGTATCGATGTGTCCCAGGAGCTTGCCGCGACGACTGGAGCTGGGAAAGCTGTCACATTATCAAGCGAGTTGCCGACTCCGGCAGGCCCATCGCCCATGCAAATGCCGGGAATGCCGAGAGATGAGTTTCCTTGAATGTGCCCGATGCAGGCGTTGACGCCGGTTCCGTTATCTGTCAGCTATGGGTCAATCAGCATGAGAGCTCTCTCACTTTTCATGGGTAATATGGAGTTGAAAGTCTGACTTCAGTATCGCCTTGGACCATGGCATGCTTTTGGGTATCATTGAGCTGGGCGATGAAAGACAGGAGACGCTCCTCGTAAGGCAGGGTCTTGTCGAGCCAGGGCTGGACCGCGGAGGCAATTGATGCCAATGAGGCTATCCAAAAAGCAGAATTTACCCTCATCTTCACTCGCGCACACAACTCATGAAGCAGAATGAATCAACAAGAAATCCGCGAAAATATCCACCGGCGTTGGTACCCTTTCATATCTGAGAGCTCTTGCAGGTCTCTTCACCGTGGCTCTTCCTCCCATCTTATCGCGTTACATCGCATATCATCACTTGATGAGCTTCTTTCAAGGTTGTTCAGATACCCAGCCCTGTACCGGCCATTAACGGATGGTCCGACTCAGTAGTAGAAGGCCGATGTAAGTGTCCTCCTCTTTTGAATGCCGGCGAGGAAGCAACTTCACCGATAAGCCGGTCCATAGTGGAGATACTCTGGAGATTGCAGTGCGGGGTACATAACTAGCAGTTAAGAGAACGCGGAGATGACTCTGTGGGTCTGGCCATCAATAAACCCGGTCGAGAAATATCCTGAGAGAAAGCGATCTTGGAGACTCGACCATGGTTAGTGGGATTAAAAGAACCTGTTCGTTGGCTGTCTACTTCTTGTCAGCACACAAAACGGGGCGGTTCCGGTCGGAGATCCACACTTCGGCTTCGACAAGCCGGCTCTGAGGCCAGGCTCGCGGGCTCGTGCCGAAAACTAATCGGCGGCCAAGAGGTTCCGTCTCAGGAGTAGCATTCTAGAAGACTGGAAGGACCACCCACGAGCTTTAGTTCGTTCAGACCTCGGTACTAGGACTAGAGGTGTAACATCTCTTAGATAGGATACTACGCTGCTGACTTGCGGACCAAACATGGATGAAGCCCCCGAAAAGTATCGAGGCGAGACCGAGACGGGAAGGTCTGCTGGGATTTGGTATACCAGAAACGACACAGGATATTCAAGAATTCAACAACAAACAGGCACAGGTTCCCCTTTTGGCCGTCCCGATGCGAAGGGGGCGCGGAGCTGAACGAGGCACGACTGGTTTGAATCTCGTAGACTGACACAATGGTGACAAGCGATGGCTGCTGGCACGAACACTTTGACGCGCCGTGCGTAGGGTGCTGCAGATCCGGAATCCAGTCCATCGACTCATCCCTTTCCCCTCGCGTTTCTAGCGCGGCAGAGTCGGTCGAGGGTCGGAAGTTTTCTCAACCACGGGCACTCTGATCGCTTCGTGTCTCCGTGGGGAATGTGGTCTAAGCCGCAGCTCGTTTCACCTGGATTCTGATACTCGTACAAAGATCTTTTCCCCCTCATTGTTCGCACCAAAGGTTCAGATTGTTGAGTCTCCCTCCCTCTCCTGCAGACTACTGGGGAAGTTCTCTCGCTGAGACTCGAGACACATTGGCGCGCTTCGGCTACGATTACGGTTCTCATTCCACTCAATCTTCATGCCCTAGCCACCCCCACGGTCGTACAAGCCGTCGCGTAAGTGATCCACCGCCTGGCCACACCCACTGGGCTGCGGGAGAGTTAAACAAGACGAGTTCATACGAGACTGCACACCACTACCAATTTTCACGGAGACTTTACTCGAGGTCCTGTGAAAGGAATCTTGGCTTCGTTCGCCGGGCCGCGGGAGTGAATTGAGTGTTTCCTGAATCGACTCGTGGGACACTCCTGATTCGCGGGTCTCGGACTGCACTCTACCTGAGTTTATTTCCGGGCGCCACTCACATTAGGCTTTCCAACTAACCCAAATTTGTGCGGAAGGTCGTGTGGAAGGCAGACTCTGACTGACACTGACTTACACGCTAGGCCATCGTCAGTGCCGCACATGAAGCTATGCATCGTGAAGACGCCAAAGACGGCCCGTCCTTTACGTCAATCAACCGGTCGGTCATCTGCCATCAGGCTTAAAGAACGTGCGATATCCAACGTGTACCATCGCTTTGAAAAGAGGCCTGAAAACAGTTTGATAGGACCCTGGAAGAGACCCTTCACACACAAGGCAGATGGCCGGCCGACCGAGGAAGAGATAAGCTCGCACCGACGAGCGGTCTGACCTCTGCCGGCGTATCCCGCTCTCGTTAACAAATCCTGCGACGGCTGGCCTGGATGATCCCAACGAACCCCGGTCAACTTCTGGAGGAGTTTTCTCCTATCAGAGGCCAGGAGAGAACTCCGCAGCGAAGCAAGTCGGAAGTTCACAAGCGAGAGGTTTGTCTTCTTTGGTAGTGGTGCTGTGGGGGATCGCCAGATCCGCCAGCGCGGGAAGAGAGTTGAGCAGGGATCCGTCCGCACGTTTCACGTTTCACTTCGGCGAGCGACGTCGTGTCAGGCTGTGCTTGAGAGGGGGAGGCTCATGGGCTGGAGAGTGTTTAACACCCCAGCTTCGGGGACGAATCCGTTTTATATCTTTGTTTTAAAATAGCTCCGCCGCCCGGTGGTGGTGCTGGTTGTTTGGCTGAGGGGGCCATTCGAAGAGGCTTGGCTGGTGAGAATATCGAAGAGAAGACGGAGCCCCGCGCCTCAAATCTCAGTCGAGCAATGCATAGAGAGCTCGAGGGTTTAAGGTAGTGCACAGCCTCCATCATCGAGAAAGTGAGGCTTGAAGGAAGGCCAGATACAACGTCAATATTGCCCGAACCCGCAAGTACGGGTCGAATCTGCGGGCTACCCGTCGAGCTTGTGTGAAATAAGCGCCGGACCTTAAACAAGGATGCCATCCACCATGTTGACGATCAACCTCAAAGGTTCATCCATCGGCAATAGGATGCGGGTCACGCCGATTCGCGCGATGCGAGTGGCCGAATAAAGTCATTCATATCCCATCCCGCCTCAAATCTGAGTAGGCCTGCCGTGCCAGGTACTCTTCCTGATCCATGCATTGACGTCAAGTACAAAGACAGCAGTCAATGCGAATAATGGCCAGAGGCATGCCCCGGTCGAGGAAGACGTGATGGAGGGCCAGAAGAAGCGTCGAGTCGAATCTTCTTCCTCGGGCCTCTCGCCCCCTCCTCTACCTCCCACTCCCCCAAACCGTACGAAGGTGGGCAAATAGGTACGGGGGTGAACCGTGAGTAATTTGTGAGACGGATTACGCTTTTGGGAAGTCGATGAGCTGAGATTTCATATAATGTTACTGTCTGTGCGAAGGTTGTTTTGCCCCTCCCGTACGTGAGGGTCTGATCTAGTCTGTGCCAGTCTATAAGCCTCCGAGATCCTTCTTCCCTCGCCTACATTCTAGCTCTCCCATGCTTGCTGGCCAAACACGTCGATATACCCTCCGTACGCTATACACTTGAATCTCCGGAAGATCATCACCATCAACACCAACTACATTCACAACCCCCGGTATCCTCGACCGACAAGATGAAGTTCACTACCGAGATCACTCTCCTCACTCTGGCTATGGGCGTCTTCGCCGAGCCCCCCACCAAGGTCGTCGCCGAGCGTGACCTGGCCACCATTCAGGGTGTCATCCAGCAAGTCGGTAACTCACTGAAGGACCTCAATAAGGCTGTGGAGGGCTTCAACGGCGACCTCAGCGGCCTCGCCGGTGCTGCTGGCGCCTTCACCAACACTCTCAACCAGGGTACCCAGCAGGTTATGGGCACGAGCGAGATCACCCTCAACGAGGCCCTCCAGCTCCAGCAGTTCGTCTCTGGACTTCAGAGCGACGGCAACGCCCTCACCAAGAACCTCGAGAAGAAGAAGCCCGAATTCGAGAAGGCCAGCCTTTGCGGTATCATCTCCTCACAAGTCGGCTCCGTTGGCGATGGTGCCAAGAAGCTCATCGATACCGTCGTCACAAAGGTTCCTCAGAGTGTCCAGTCCGTCGCCAGCCAACTTGCCGGCAGCTTCGCCACAACACTCTCATCAACCCAGCAGTCATTCGCCGCAGGCAACTGCACCAACGCAAACGGCATGGGTGGCGGCGGCAACGGAACCTCCAACAACGGTACACCCAAGACTTCCTCCCCCGCCAAGGCTAGCGCCGCTACCCTCTCCGTCGGCCTCGGCTCGATCGCCGCCGCGGCGTTTGCTGTCATGTTGCTGTAAGCGGTTTTGCGTGGAGATGGGATAGGAGTTTAGGGTTTGGACCGGGGATCAGCGGAGGATATATGGGAGACTTCAAAACTTTGTCTATGATCGCCTTTTCTTCCTTTCTTATAGGCATGCCGAGAGTTGTATCATACGGGCTCAGGTAGACAATGCGAAGCCTGCTTCTTTGCACATTGGGTGTATATCGATGTTGTTCGCACATACCACGTTGCCCACAGGTTGACTATTACAGAGAGTCAGGTAGACTGCGGTGGCTATATCGCGTCGGCGGTTGACTTGTCTAAGCTAGTCTTAGAAGACGCGTCAGTCTCGCAGCTCAAGAAAGAGTCAGACTGGTAGACTTTGGCAATTGGTTGTAGGAATAAGAACAAATACAAATACAGAGCAAAGGATCAGCGAGCCGGTCATCACGCCGAGTAGGGCGGCAATGTTTACCGGACAGTTCTGGAGCTGAAGTTTTGGGGGAGGGGGGGCTGCACTGAACATCTACATGATCTCGGGTTTGTTGCGATGTCGTTCAAGGCGGTCAGAGCCTCAATTCTTCATAGTCAAATAGTCCGGAAGGAACCGTCTCTCTTTCTTTCCTAATCCGTCGAACCGCAAGGCCTTTTGTCCCCGTCTTAAGTTGCCCAGAGGTACTTAACCTTTTCGAGATTCCACAACCTCTCCCAACCACAAGCACAAGACATACACGGCTTCGAATACCAGTGACAATGAGTAAGTTCAACGCATCCCTTGAGTACCTAACAGACTTTTATTTGATTTGAAAAATATGAGCTGACAGCATACACAGATAAGCAAACCAACACTGGTGCGCCCTCGACCCCTACTCAGGGCACTTAAGTCATGGCTCACCGACGGGCTATGACTCCCAATACTCAGCATGTCAACTACAAGGCAGTCGCATGGTTCGGTGAAGCAGTTCTCCACGAGCACAAGTTCGTGCATCAGGATAGATGGTGGCAGAAGAAGGACGGTCGTATCGTCCCCCTCTAGAATACCCAAGGCCCGGGCCGCCAGGAGTGCATCGCCAAGATTGGTAGCGGCCTTCTTGAATGCTACAAGCCCCTGCCGATTCCCCTCACCTATGACCTTGACGCCATGAAGATGCGCGTTATCGGCAACCTGGATTCGTGCAATGGCCCGAATTGCCAGAGCAAGCAGAGTGAGCTTAACGAGTCCCTTATTCTATGATATGTACGATTTGCTAACCATTTTGCAAATAGCCTGCCCCCCTAGCGAGTACACCGAGACTTGCCTTGTCTGGTCCAACTACCAGGCTCCCTCTAAGAGCAAGAAGCATCACTACCCTGCGTACGAGGGCGTCGGTGCTGACCTCGGTGAGGCCAACGCTCCCTAAGAGGCATGACGGTTTCGCGGCAAAAAAATCGTTTCACGTCCGCGACAACATATGATGATGCTTGGAACATGGAATACATGGCTGGAGGAAGGTTCTTCGACATTGATTAAGGGATCACAAGGACATTCACAGTAAGCAGCTGAGACATACGACAAATCGTATCAAACAACAAAAGCTTCTTGAGCACTCTCGTTTCCTCTCTTGATTTCTCAACCTGCTGCTCCTTCCCATCTTGCGTGCGTGGAGTGACGTACCTTAGCCAGTGCCTTCTCTGCCGGAGTACGTAGCCTTGCTTCAGTTGTCGTGGAAGGAACCACCTCGTCATGTACCTTCACATGACGGCAAGATCGCAGTCATTCGGGAGAGAACCACATCCACCTCCCGTACCTTACGCATGTCTACTTCGCCACCCGCCTTTTCCCAAACAACATCTCACGAAGTCGTATGCCGGGCAGGTTTTGTTTGTCGTCTACAACTTGACATACCATCGACAGGTATCGAAGCGCTTTCCTCTACAACATCCTCTGGCAGAAGATCTCACTAGTCGACGCGTCCAACGGGGCCCAAACTTCAACATGGAGCCCATGTCATCCGACTACGAGGATGATGGACCGGTTCCAACCAGTCGATTCGCTACAGCAGGGATGAACAGCTTGAGCAGGTTCGAAGCTACTGCTGAGGCTGACCGACGAGCTTCGAAACTATATGCCAAGAATCTTCAGCAAAACATGAACGCTCCAGGGCCCGAACGACTGTTAGCGATGTGGTCCAACCGCTTCTACAAGTTCCGCGAAGTAACTTTGAGAGTCGAGTAAGTTGACCTCTCCACCATACCTGTCACTTGGAGCTTGCTTTCCAAGGGGACCCAAAGTGTTGACGTCTGAATGTAGGCCATCTACCATGCCTACCAGTGATCAGATAATCCGTTTCTTGCACACCATCCCCGGCAAGATCACCGGCCAAGGCCCCGACGGACGGGTGTCATACCAATACGTCAAGGGAGGCGTTTCTCACATCCTGAAAAAGCTCCAATTTGATTACAAAAATTGGTCCTGGACTAAACATGACTCGGCTCGGATAGGCAAGCAATTCAAGGGACCCCTTGAGATTTTCTACCTCTCTGCTAATGCTCTGGCACGGATAGATTCAACCCTGCGCGACCTCTTACAGAAGGACGTCTTGTCAAGAGAGCCCTGTCGTGGAGAGAAGCTGTGGCTTACGAGCGACATTGTTTCCAAGATGACGACGAAGATGATCGCGGATGCTGACGCCCTCGGCACGTTCAGTTGGGACTTTCTCTTGGTCAAAGTCTTAATGATTCTCATACCGGCTGCAATCGGGGCCAGGTCTGGCGACGTGACCCGATCGCGCTTGTACACGGGGACTGAATACACCAAATTCTCGGACGTTGTCATTCGACTTCGCGATAGCGATTCACAGTATGGCAACGAGCTATGGGGAACCATCACCCTCCCATACACGAAGACCCACAAGTAAGTCGCTACCATCTTCTGAGCCTAGATGTCTGCTAACAGGCGTACAGGAGAGATCCGACCAGAAATCACGCAATAGAGTTCGTCGAGCTAATGGATCCCTTGAACAATGCCGCTTGTGTGTTGAAGCTCATCTTGGCACATGCCTTACGCCATGGCATGGTGCACGGTGCTCAGTCTTGGGATCAGATGATGGAGAATCTCCAAGAGACCAAACTGATTACTTGGGTGAATCCGCAGAGACCATTGCTATGTGGTTCGATAAGTGGTGTGGCTGGAAAGGTCAATCCAGACCTCCCCGCCCCGACGGACCTCATGCTTCGAACGCTGAGAGGCGCTGCCGAGGCTGTTGGCATGCGCAAGAAGCCCATCATGCACGACTTGAGGCGCGGAGCTGCACACGAGCAGGTTCATCTACCAAGTACCATTCGTCCCACAGCAATGGACTCAGCCCGGCGCTTGTTGGGGCACAGCCATGCCGCCGACCGAAGCGGAGTTACAGAGTTGTATACGGGCCATGTGGCTGAACCGACTTGGAACCTCCGACTGCAAACCAAGCCAGCGCCAAGGGCTCGTATGGTAGTCGACTTTGACGAAATGCCACCAGCGAAGCGGCCGAGATTATCACCAAGTCAAGTCACAGCCTACTGCAATCAGAATGACCTGGACCCGAACTCCACGCAACATAGGAAACGGGCAGCCTACCATTTGAATACCGAGCGTGACAGCAGGGAGCCCGCAACCGCTGGCCCTTCGACTCCCTTGGCTGTCGCTAGTACCAGCACTGATGCTGAGAATACCGGACAGCTTGCCCCTCCGAAGACACGGTTATCTTCAAGATCTTTGACCAAGCTTTGTGAAGACAACCAGCTGGACCCGAACAACAAGAAGGACCGAATCAAGGCATCCAGAATGCGCAACCGTCAACTGGAGCACGATCACGAAATTGGCGCATCCCTTGAAGAAGCCCCGGTAAGAACTCCCCTAGGCCCAAAGGACCCCAATTCCGCCGGGCCTCGAATTGATTCCCCAGCCATGGACGATGAGAACGATACCCTCCAGCCTCCTCCTTTGCATCCGCCAACCGAACAGGAAGAAGACAATTCAATGATCAACCTCTTGTTCTCGGATTCTACTCCCGAGGAAGAAGTGGCTAGCATGTTGATGGGGTCCTCTGGAGAGGCTGCTCCGAAACCAACGGCTGCTGTGTATCAACAGCCACGAGCTTTTGCCAAGTGGCTTTCTCAAGTCAATATTGTCAAGTGGGAAACGACCGGTGCCTACGGCTTGCCAGATTCAGCCGTTTCTGGAGGCAGCAGAGATCCACCGACACGATTCATCCACCTATGTCCCACAGAGGGTTGCAACGAGACGTTCTTAACACATCATGGACTTGAACAACACTTGAACCGGACACACAGTGAGGTAATTGAGACGATACAGTGTCCGGATTGTCACCAAAGGATGCGTAAGGGATCCCTACAGAAGCATCACAAGGAGTACCACATGGAGATGACTTGTCCCGAAAAGGGCTGCGAGAACCGAGGGATCTTCCACGGCACAGTGGAATTAGCAGCACACAAGGATCAAATTCATTCCGGCTGGATCAACCGAGGGTGCCCAGTCAAAGAATGCAGACGATTTGAGAACGACTTCAAGGCAATCCAGAACTTGGTGAAACACGTCAAAGTCTCCCATCCGACTTTCGACCTTGATGAACTGTCGCATTGGACAGGCATACCTATCAAGAAGCCAGCTTCACAGACTCTACCATCCTGGACTCCGACGCGGTGTCCTTGGCAGGAGTGTTCAGCGTCGTTGCGCGTGTACAACAATCGAGTCACACTCCTCGGCCACGCGGATCGTGTACACAAAGCAAAAGCCGCAGACGTTGACAACAAACTTCAGGCTCTCAACGGATCCGACGCTTGAGGATCAAAGATGAGGCGCCTCATACTCTTCCACATTATTTGCAATTGCAGCAGCTCCATTTCCTTTCTTTCACCCAGAAACTTTCTTCCGCAATAAAACCGAGGAAACGGCACATCGACGACATGAAACGGAGAGAGACATACACTATGTACAACGGACCCCATATTACTACTTTGATCATAGCTCGACATTCGAGGGCGATTATCTCATGCGACGTCGTTTTGAGTCTCATACGAGGACTAACTATCAGCACAGTTATCTATAGAATTGCAATAGAGAACGGGTCGCCATTTACGACGATGGCTATTACGGAGTGGTGCCAGACTTTTACTGAGAATACAGGTTGCTATGACAGGCCCGGTTGTGAATGGGAGGCGATTCTTATGGGGTGAATAAATGTTATTTAGTTGTCAGTCGCAGAACATTATCTGAACAACGTGGTGTTGCCGTTAAATATGTGTGGTGAAACAGCTGTGTCGACCACCTCACAAGGGAGACATTGTCCTCAAATTCAGTGAAACGAAGCTCGCATTAAATCGTCAGCTAATCTACTGCGTTGTGAAAGTCATCCTGCGCGCCTCTCAAAGCAAACGGGTGACTTGCTCTGGCGCCCTACTCAAAGTATCACCGTCCCTTCAACCTTTCCATTCTAAACGTCGTCCTCCCCGTCGCCTCGCCCCGGTCCGATTCATGGATCCATGGCAACTACTTGGCGCAGCATTCCATCATATCAAATAGCTTCCCAGCATAAGCAACGACCGGGGATGCCATGATCTGAGCCATGGGCTCTTCAGTGGGAACCCACGTTGAACTTTTGGTCCGGTTCTCACCTGCCGCCCACTTGATTGAGAGCATAGCAGAGAAAATTTGATATTGAGTATCCCTTTCGATGTTTAGGTCCTCAATAAACGTTTGGCATGCTTGTATTGAACCCGATGTATAGGATGCTTAGGGTTAAATTCGACGTCATGCTGGTAGGCCTTGCTGATCGATTAAAAGACTCTTTTCACGTTTGACTGTCTAGTTCGATTCTGGAGGGGGAGATGGTCTCTCATGAAGTATACCTTCACCCCATGGACGTTCTCTGGCAGCATTCGATCCATCGAGAACCTTCTCTGAGTGGGTTTCCGCAACGCTGGCGCGGTGTGCTGTCCAGAGGGGACGGGTCCCTTATGTTGGCGTCAGTCATGTTGAGGGCGTCCACTAAGTCTCGGGTTCGTCAGTACACTGAGCATGCCTTACAAATATGGTACTTACATGTATTTCTGATGAATGAGTTTTGCGGACAACGGGTCTGTTGATATGGAAATAGGTAAAGCTGAAGGTGCTGAGCTTCTCGAGCGCGGAGAGGAATTGGTGAACCTCTTGGATTGTGGAAATGACAAGATATCTTCACTCTTGACGTCAGTAGGATATATTGAAAAAGTAGAAACATGAAATATGTACCTTGGAGTGCTCTCCTGCCACTTATTGTGTGTGAGAGGCTGGAAGGGCCCGTTGACACTCCTTCTATGGGTAGATTGTGAAGAGAGGAAGATGAAGAAGGAAAAGAAAGAGAGAAGACTCGGGTATTAAATAGATATCTTTGAGCCTTCTCTGAGCAGGAGCTGAAGACTAATCTACACTATTCGGGGAGGAAACTACCCCACAACTCACCTTGAGTGAGAGAAGAGGAAGGAGGGAGGTATGGACTATAGTCTCTACTCGACAGGCAACCCTCACCTCATTATGACTAAATAGACTCTGATAAATCTTCTGCTTCGAACCACTATCTTGCCCCCAACTCGGGGAAAGAGGCTAGATGACATCAAACTGATGCCAAAGAGTTATCCGAGTTGAGAGGAATATTGTCTTTATCTTGCTACTTGATGAGGTTCAGAACCATGCGCTTTAGCCGGGTGGAAGCAACTAGTTGAACACCACTGTTTCTCTTTGCTGGTCTACTTACTCTCTGCTGTCGGTTTAGTCTCCATTTCCGTGATGGATACTGGTTGCTCGGGAACTGTTGTTCAACCTATACAACTCTTGGTCTGGTCTTTCGGTCTCCTTGGCGATAGTGTCCTCATCCGTATCAGGTTTGGCCTTGAGAGACTTGAAATAGTAAGCAGTTTACCGTTGAATACCCTGCCTCGGTAGTTATCATTCACTCTTTCCTAATCATATATAACTTTCTTACCTTTCTTACCTTTCTTACCTTTCTTACCTTTCTTACCTTTCTTACCTTTCTTACCTTTCTTACCTTTCTTACCTTTCTTACCTTTCTTACCTTTCTTACCTTTCTTACCTTTCTTACCTTTCTTACCTTTCTTACCTTTCTTACCTTTCTTACCTTTCTTACCTTTCTTACCTTTCTTACCTTTCTTACCTTTCTTACCTTTCTTACCTTTCTTACCTTTCTTACCTTTCTTACCTTTCTTACCTTTCTTACCTTTCTTACCTTTCTTACCTTTCTTACCTTTCTTACTCTTGTTATCTCTATTATCCTTATGACTATTATTGCTCTAGTTGTTATCCTTGTCGCCTTTCTTACTTCTCATCTTTGAAATATTCACTAAGGAATGCTCTTGGAGAAGTGTGTTATAACAGTTCTGATAATACTAGCGATGTTAAGAACGAAGTTGACTTGTGTGTCGCCTGGCCTCCTATTCTGTTACCCACTTGCCAGCGAGATGCCGATGGTTGTGGAACTGGTGGAGTCGCTGGATCTCCATTATTAGACTATCGTTTGGCTGCTCCGAACATCTCACCGAGCGGAGCTTTAGCTCCGATTCCTACCCTTGGTGTAGTTGGTTCATCACGTTCGACTGTAATGGTTTCATTGTCATCGAAAGGTCTCTAGTTCGATTCTGGAAGGGTAGATTGTCTCTCATCTTTTAGCTTTTGCTGAGTTGTGTTGACGATGCCTTTACAAGAGGGTGGTGGGTGGTGGCACGTGCGGGGTTCCTCTTTTTTGCTTTTGCTTCCTTCCCTCAACGAGTCTTGAATGAGCGCAGCGGGGGCCGCCTGTGTACGGACTTTTGTTCACTTGGAGCACCCAAATGTTCCCATTCTCCCACCTTCATAACCACAACCACCGACCTTCACAACCAATTCCTTTTCCTCTCCTCGGATCTAGATATCACAATGACCCAAGCAGAGGGTGCAGCCGTCAAAGAAAGGAAGAGAAGCCGGAGCAGGCACCAGAATGGCCACCACAGCGCTTCAAGCGACGGGAGTGAAGCCGAGACCGCGAGCCAGTCAAGCAAGCGAAGCAGCAGGAAGCGCAAGGGCGACGACGATGCCAAAGTCAACGGCAACCACTCCAAGAAGCAGCGCCGCCCAAGCCTGAGCCAGCCTGCGCGCGATCCCCGTGATACCACCACATCCAAGTCCAAGAAGAAGTCGTCCAAGCCCAAATCCGAGGGCGTCGTAACGAGGTCACCGAGCCCGGTGATCGACTTTGACGGCCTGAGTCGCCCCAGTAAGAGTCACGCCATTCCCAACCCCGCGCAACCCAATTAACTAATGCGCAATGTCTTTGCAGGCCTCGGAACCCGTGAACGTCTCGATGAATCCCCCGAGCAGGCTGCCGTTCGTCTCGAGAAGATGAAGGGCGCCGTCCGCACCATCCTCGAATGCGTCGGCGAAGACCCCGACCGCCCCGGCATCCTCGACACCCCGAGACGCTACGCCGAGGCCATGCTCTTCCTGACCCGCGGCTACCAGCAGAACGTCAAGGACATTGTCAACAATGCCATCTTCCAAGAAGGCCACAACGAGATGGTCATTGTCAAGGACATTGAGATCTTTAGCATGTGCGAGCACCACCTCGTTCCGTTTACCGGCAAGGTTTGTAGACCCCGAGATTCGCCCATTGACGATTGCAACCCCCGGCTTACAAGTGCCTGCAGATGCACATTGCCTACATTCCCAAGAACCAGGTCATTGGCCTGTCGAAGCTGCCCCGTATTGCCGAAATGTTCAGCAGACGTTTCCAGATCCAGGAGCGCCTGACGAAGGAGGTTGCCTACGCCATCATGGAAATTTTGAAGCCTCAGGGCGTCGCCGTTGTGATGGAGTCCAGTCACTTGTGCATGGTCATGCGCGGCGTGCAGAAGACGACGGCTAGCACGATAACTAGCTGCGTGCTCGGTGCCTTCGAGAAGAAGGAGAAGACCCGGAACGAGTTCCTCAGTTTGGTGGGGTTGAAGACATAGACGGGCATGCTGCGCAGAGGCACTCTGAGACATTGCTCGAAAGGAACATCTTCCGAGCGGCAATGATCTCGTCTGATATATTGTTCTACACATTCTCGGCGTTTGGTTTACACGGGCATGCATCACGAATTGGAAAGACCATGTTTAACACTGGGTCAAGCATTGGCGATTATTGGGGGGTAGATTTCATGAGAATGGGAGCTCAACGCTCGTTCTGGACTAAAAGAATTTTTCAAAGCGCAAAATACAACACTTACATTGCTGGCTACTGGCTGGCTAGATTGCTCGTTTTGCAGCCAAGGGTTACCTACCTATTCAAGCCTTCTTGCCTACGACGCCTACCGGCATATTAGTCCGTCATCGTGCTCTGGCGCCTAAGCGGTGAGACCTCTCCCTGCATTGAAATTCGCTGCAAGGGAGCGCGAGCTATGCCGCCATGCCGCCATGGAGGGGCAGTGAAACAAGGCCAATTGGCATTGACTCGGAAGCGAGTCGCCTTGGGAAACAACGTCGTCTGGAGGGAAATCGGAGCAGAAAATTCGGTTACGGCCGGCGTTATCTTATCGGGTGGTTTAGCGCGATTTCAGAGGTACCTCCCCCGGGATTCAGGATTGCAACGTGCTGCAGCAGTGCATTTCTGCCAGTCACCGATGCAGCGGCCAGCCACGTTCAGCGCTCGCTGCAGTGTAAGCTTGGTACTGCGAAAAATGGCTACCTACCTTACCTAGCACGCCTAGGTACCTATGTGGTTCCCTCAGGTACCCACTTCTCCGATTCCCGTCTGACGCAAGGGTCCATTCCGAGCGGTACGTACCTTTAATGGAGCCTCGCTCAAACATCCGCCCGTTTGTTTCCAGCCTGCCGTGCACGGTCCATTGCAGCTGAGGTGGAGCTTGACACTGCCAAGGACTGGCCCCGGTCATGTGACAGCTGGCCGGGGACACTCAGGAAACACTCGGCCTTAGTCATCCGGGACACCGTGCTCCACTCTTTCCATCCATCGACCGCGGCGCGCCTTCACGCTCATGGCTTAAACTGGACATGAAATTCGATGACCTTGCCGACTTCCACCAAATTTGAACCCAAGCAAACGTAACGACCCCCCGACCGACACCTCCCTCGACCACATCCTGTCCTCTGCCCTTCCGACAGGCGCTTCCCCTCCTTTCGATATACCAACTGCGCTTGCCGGCGCTCACCACTTCTCCTTGCGCTCCACCTAGAAGCCTTTGCGATGGCTTCCCCTCCATACTCGTACTCTCCAACCGCACACTCACCACCGTATCCGTCACCCGCGCAGCTCCCCATGTCGAACAAGAAGAGAGCATCAGATGGCGCCCCTCCAGGGTCTGCGAAGCGCCGAAAGGCCTCGACACTCTCCGTCACCTCCGCCGCTGCCCACCCCCTTCGTCAGACTTCTTTCCCACCCGAAGCCGGCTCACCATTCCCACGTTCACCCTCGGCCGACAACGCTAGTGTAGTCAGCGGCAGTCAAGTCAGTGCGCCTCCTAAGAAGAAGCGCGGCCGGAAGCCCAAGAACCAGACCAACGTTGAGACCAGAGAACAAACGCCCTCTCTTGTAGGCGGACGCGCACCCACAACTGTCAGCGGCGCAGGCGCTGGAGGCGACGCACAAGAGGAAGGCGCCAATGATGACGACGACGATAACGATATGCGCATGGCGCTGGTGGATTCTACAGTCAGGACGCAGGAGCAGAAGCAAGAGGAGATAAGACTCCGTGCCATGCTCGTGGAGTCCTTTGACCCAGAACAGTACGATCGCTACGAACTCTGGCGTGCCGCCAAACTCACAGAGTCCGTAGTCAAGAGGGTGAGCTTATAACCTGGTCGCTGGCTCTTCTTATACCATAATACTGACCCGATCACCACACAGGTCGTCAATGCGACAGTCTCGCAATCCGTCCCACCGAACGTTGCTCTCGCCGTCAAGTCAGTATCGAAGCTTTTCATAGGCGAGCTCATCGAGAGAGCTCGAGATGTGCAAGGGGAGTGGATCAAAGGTACTGGCGAAAAGCAGGCAGACGTACCCACGCCGCCGCCCAAAGACGACGCGACGCAGGCAGAAGACAGAAGAGGCCCCTTGCGACCAGACCATCTCCGCGAGGCGTGGCGACGTTACAAGCTATCGGGAGATGGAGGCTGGGTGGGAATTCAAGGCTTGTGGCACGAGCAGCAGAGCAGTGGCGTGGAGAGATTTCCTGTCCGAACTGGTGGACGACGAGTTTTCCGGTAATGCCGTGGCAGAGATTCCATTGTTGTGACATGAGGGGATGGCGGGGGCGCGGAAGGCAACGGAGAAGCTTGGGAGCTTACTTACATGATACCCGGTCTAACAAATAGTTAGCCTTAACATCGACGGCTCAGCGCTGTCATAATGAACACAGTATTATAATCTGAGAATCATTACCGGAAGTGGACTATCATGGACTGATGAATTTACACAATAGCATTAGATAAGTAACAAGCAAGCTCTCCACCCAGCAGCAACTGAGGAACCCTCACAAAGCATCAGTCCCAAGCCAGCCTAATTTACTCAGACTGGACTTCCACACCCAAAGCTCGTAGCTTGGGACTTGCCATTGAACGCCGCAATCAACCCTTCAATCGACGAGTACATGCCCAACGCTGTCGTGACAAGTCCTCCCAGCATGTAGACGATATTCCAAGCATTGAAGAGAGGTCTCTTCATGAACCCCCGCCGGTATCGCTGAAATCCACTATCGACATACGCATACCTACCCGTGGTTGGGTCAAACGTCTCCTGTTCCGGCACCATGGCATCCTTCCGAATCCAATAGCCCAAGCCCAGCAGTGCGGGCAGAGTGTATGTGAAGCTCAGGATGAATAGCGCCCCAATGAACCCAGAGACCAGCGAAAATTGCGGCACAGCAGCGCCGATAATGAAGGCGAGAGCCCAGTACACGGGTATCACCGCCGCCCACAGCATCTTGCCCGCAGATTCGGTCAACGGCGGCGCCCCAAAGATCTCCTGGAGCAGCTCAACGTAAAGAACCTTCATGCCGATATTCCCATACAACCCTGCCGCGATCAACCCCGTCACCAGACCCAGGATATTAGTCGCCGTCTGCCACCAGTACGGCGATAGACTCTGCATGGCGGGGTTGAAAGCGTACTGGCCCTGGAAGGAGTACACGTACAACCCAAAGACGAGGTAGCACACGTAAATAAAGACCTCGCCGCAGAGAAGGGCCTTCCAAAAGTCCATGGGGTGCCGCATCTCCGCCATGAAGGCCGCAAAGATGAGGCAGCCGCCGTACGAGTAGACGGCTTGGTTTAGGCCGTTCATGGAGCCCAGGAAGCCGGAACCGCCCGAAGCCATGCCGGGCGGGGGCGTGCCGGCGTAGGTGATGACGGGTCCGGGTCCGAAGGTGTCGCCGAAGGAGGCCTGGGTGGCGGCGAAGTTGGGAGGGGAATGTGCCACGACGCCCATGCTGTTTGTCTTTCGTCAACATCAACCCGAACCGAAGACTATTCCAAAACTTACCAGATGAAAATGATGAGCAAGTTCACCCACACAGCCAGGTTTGCAATCCACGAAAACCGCTGCAGCGTACGAATCTGGCCCAAGATGAATCCAGCCGCCATGAAGATGACAAGACACGCCACGAAGCAGATCCCCGCGTTGCCATTGGGACCCTTGCTGATCTGCGAGATAGACTGCCCGTTGGCGAGGATCAGGACAGCCACAAACAACATGAGCTGGAGACCTTGGGCGAAGTTGATGGCGTGCCTTGCCTTGGCGCCAAAGACGCGGAAGTAGAGGTCGCCGTAGCCTTTGAGGGGGTATCTGTCCGAGTCGAGGCCGAGGAAAGCTTTATAGAGGATCCAGCCGGAGCTTGAATCGGTCAGTCACTTGTTGTCCAGGAGGGTGGTCTTTAGGAGACTTACTACAACGACATGACGCCGAAGACAGTGTAGAGCGCGATACCAGGGCCATAACCCATCTGCGCAAAGGCCCATCTGGTTTCTCGTGTTAGTTATGGTTCTTTCATGGTTTGAGAGTAGGTAAACCCACGGCGTAGAGAATGGCCCAAGGATATCCGTGGTGATGAGGTAGAACACGGCGCCCCAACCAGCAGTTCTCACCGCTCTGCTCGCCGTCTTCCACTCCTCCGGCGTAACGACACCGCCATCCCTACTCTCCGCAGGTTGCAAAGCCTTATCGCTTCCACTCCCGTTCTGCTTCTCTCCAACACCAGCACCGACATCCTCATTCCCACTGCCCTCGCTGCCCCCCTGGAACCTTACATGCTCATCACCCTTCCTGAACCGATCTTTCACAACACTCTTGAGCGTCAAGGGTCCTCGAGAGTGTAGATACCGCTCGTTTGCCAGCTTCTCCTCGGCACGCGTGACGTCGGCCCAGTACAGGTACTCTTCAAACGTCACGTTGGGGTCGTGCAGTATCACCGCCGGCGGCTCCATGGTGTAAAAGGTTTGCCCATCTTGGCGGGACGGGGTCTGGTCGAGGAGGGACTGTGGTTTGTTTTGAGCCTTCTGGATATCGTCCGTGGGCGCGGGTACGGTGTGGTGGGCAGACATTGTTTGTGTGGTTTATCGTGTCTCAGCGTTGGGACGACTTCAGGCACGATGGGGTCATGGAGGCACTGATGTCTGGAAAGAAGATGTTTGATTGACTACACATGATCGAGGCTCATCCGTTCAAGTTGAGATTGGGGAAAGGGTTTCTTATGAGTTCAATTGATCGTAACGTAGCAGTTCTGATATCGGCCCGTCCAACTATCGCCGCCGATACCACAGTCGTATAGGGAGAGTGACATTTGATGGTATCACTTCAGCTCAGCCAAAGGTTAGATACACTGAATCCCCATGATATGCCTCTTTGTCTCTGTCCATCTTCCGGAACAGATTGGAGCCGTTCAAGGATAGCCCCCCCTCCCCCTCTCGCCATCCTATCTCCTCCCGAGCTAAGCTTTCTCAACCCCCCGGGCCTGCTGTAACCTTGATAAGGAAATGTCGTTGCAACCCTCCTTTGAGCGAATCGACGACAGACGGGCAGCCGGCAAAAGTGATTTGGTGCCTCCAGTGCCAGGGGACTGTTGGTTGTCAATTTATCCCGCGTGACTATCACAATCATCTGGTCATTGACTTTTTTTCCTCAACCCCCTTCTCGAAGCTTGAAGGTGTCAATTGTGGTGTGACTCGGCTCAATTGATTCGTCTTCTAATCTATGATGAATCAAGACTTATCAAAGGTGTGAAGAGTTCTAGCGATTGCGGGAGAATTGTCACGATTGGGATGGGCTGAGGTGGCGGGTATTCGGCAGTTGTCGATATCAATGACGTTCTGGATGGCAGGTATATGAAAATGCGCAGATTGGCTGCGTTATTATGCAGCCAAGTCTCATGGGTCCTACGAGCTCATATCGTTCATTGGAAACACACTTCCGCCTTACCACGGTCCCAATTGATATGTGAGTGCGATGGATGGATAATTTTCAAAGGGCATCTGTCTCCACCGTCTACAAGTCCAACGTCGAGGTAGATCGCTTAGAAGCTCGCCGATGTCGACGGGCCGATGATACTACCAATCGACGTCGTATGCACTATCGACTTTGACTATACAACTATCTATCGAATCCCTTGCCGGACGAACACGCGTGTCCAATTATCCTTCACGCTTTGTAAACTACCAATGTCCAAAGGGGTGTTCTCAGCACCTCCTTTGCCAACACAAGCCGAGGGATGCCCACCATGTTTGGCCACATCAAAGACACGAATACATCATTGCATAAGTCTCACCATCTCTGTTATCATTCATGGCTGCTAATACCACGTATGTCTCTTATTTTCGTTGACATTGTAATTCGAACTTCATTCCTGTTATGTCGAAGCACGTCTCGATGATGATGCGCCAGTTTTGTCTTCATACATATTGTACATGGTGAACCTCCCCAGTCGTCATGCCATCAGGGTATGGCATTAATCATCTTCCTTCTTGATCTCCTCTTTGATTTGTGTCGATTTTGCTTTCTTGACCTCCCGCTTCTTAGGCCTCAACCATTCTTCCATGCCCTCGGGCCAATACACCCTATGTTGCGGACCACCCATGCCGAAATCCTCAGGTGCTATGATTTTCTCTTCCACGGGGACGGATTCAGGTTCCTCTGGTTCGTCGTCTTCTTCGTCATCGTCTTTCTTCTTCTTGGATTTCTTCGGCTTCTTTTTGCCATCCTTCTTGGTGACCGCCTTGTTCGGCCGCATTTCATCCAGTCGCTCGTGTGGAACCACGTTGTTGAATAAGTCCCAACCCGGAAGCCTGAATGTTCGCATGAGTTCAAAGACAGCCTGCTCCTTGTCCTTGGCCTCAATCATGAGATCTGCATCAGGGGGGCACGGTGGAAGAGTGCGCACTCGCGGAGAGTGTTTTCTTCGGTCTCGGGGTGTGGTAGCGCTCGGGCACGATTCGCTATAATGCATCTTTTGCTTGATGTTCTTGCGCGTCCATGTAGCACTGATTCTGTCGTAGATCTTCATAATATCCTCGGTGCCCTCACGCAATTGGCTTGCGTCGAAGATGATGTTGTGGTGATGGAAGTCCAGAACCAATGGGATATTCAGCTCCTCGCAGATGGGTAGTAGGTCATGGACAGACCAGGCCACATCGTCGTTCTCGAGGACAAGTCGGTTCTTGATAGACTGTGACAGCTTAGTGTAGTTGGTACGGAATCGGTCCAGCGTAGATGCCTTGTCGCCGTATGTGCCACCCATATGCAATATCATGATGGCGTCTCTGTTTTGCTGCTCCGGGAGACGGAGAAGGCCGAGCAATTCATCGTGATATTCAAGATCGCGAATTGCGGCTGTGATGACTTCTTTGCGTGGTGAGCCAAGCTGAGTAAACTGGCCAGGGTGCGTTGTCAGTCTGTGGCCTAGTTGTGCAGCGACTTTTCCGGCTTCTGCAAGAGGCTCCGCAGCGAACGGGGTGAGGCGGTAGCCGTATTCCTCATGACTAGCGAATGGAAACATTTCTGAGCTGAGTCGCATGAACTTAATACCATACTTGTCGTTCCAGCGAAGCATTTTCACAATATCCCGAGCGTTGGCCAAGCCCAGTTCCTCGACATACTTCTGACCGCGTTTGATATCGGCCGGCTGGTTTTCGTCAGGGCGATTCTTGGTAGGATGTTCAGGCTGGGATGGATCAGCAAGAGGGTGACGGTGTTGTAAGATGGAGGCGATGCGGCAAGTTCTCGAACTGAAGACGGGTGGATTTGCGGCGCGGAGATAGGTATTGAGACAAGCCTGATCCAGTATTAGTCATCGACACCGAGGCTAGGATATGGGAAAGATCATACGTAACCCAACCTTCCAGACCATGGGAGAGGTAGATAGCTGCTGTTCACAGGCGGCTCTCGTCCAGCACCTCTCTCCGGGGCGTTCTCGAGGCGCATCTTGTCGTCCTCGACGTCGCCGACGGCGCCTTCCCCGTCCGGGCCTTCTATTGGGGCGGCATCCAAATTGGGGGTACCGGATCGCTCCTCCTCAGCCATCCGGGCGAGCTTCTCTGGATCTGACGGATGGACTGCCATGTGAGGTTTATATGCGTGTTGGTCTGAGTGAGGCTTAGTTGCACCAGGCGGGACATGGCTGGTCTCAATGGCAAGACGCTGGTTCCTGGTGGAATTCTGTAGACGGTTCTCCATCTCAGTAAGCTCTCTTATGGCACGGCGCACGCCATTCTCAGACTCGGCCTTCCTGCGGCTAATCTGGCGGCGCTTAGCCGGTGGTTGGTCTTTTGCAAGATCGGCCTCGGTGGGACTCATGGCGGCGCCGGGCTTGGTGACTGTTTTCACGTCGCTGATGTTTCTGGCGGATCGGCGCGGAGCCGGAGTGTCAGGGACGGGATTGGCAGCCTCGGTGGTAGTAGGTTGTCCATTTGTTATACCGGACTTCTTTCGCTTGGGTGCGGCCATGGTGGTGTATGGGCAGCAGTTAAGTAATATAAATGGTTGTCTGAACGAGTACTGATGGGGGTGGGAGACACAAGCGAGCGATGAGCTCAGGAGCGGGACAAGTGACGGCACGAGGGGGCTCGTGGCACGAAGAAGTCGTCGCGGACACAACAGATGATTGGTCGCAGCGGAAGAAAAGCTCCTCATGCAGTCAATGACGGGAGGAGCGGGCGGATCTGTCGAGAAGTGGTCCGGCAAGGTGATGGACACGGAAGCGCGTAGTAGTATAGAGCCCTGGGATAGTTATGCTCTAAGGTGGATGTTTGCCATGTGGGAACTAAGGTAATACGGATGGTCGGGTGTCAGATGGATGCGAATTACGTAGAGACGCTTTGGCGTAACTGCAGGTGACCGAATTTCGAATCGAGTGAGGTACCTCTAGGGAGGTTGCGTTTGTAGTAGGGTGCTTTGTTCAGGATGATGCTCTTCAGCGAGGATGGGAAGAAAGACGATGACAGGGGCAACGAGACTGTCAGGTATGGGAAAGCAAGAGAGGAGTAGGTGATTTGAGATGAGTTGGAGCTGAGTTGAAGCGAGATTTCTCAAGTCACTTGCAGCGCGCGCCGAGCGAAGCAACAGAAGAGAGTGCGAGAGGGCGGAGAAGGGAGAGGGAGAGAGACGGGAGTGGGAGAGAGAGAGGCAAAGACCTGACGAAGAGATGGAAAACGTCGATGAGGTCAACGGGGCCACAGACCGAGCACTGCGCGCTCGAGAGACAGACGTCGGATGGGAGTGAGGTACAAAGGGCCATGTATCTTGACGCGAGCGGGCTAGTAATGGAGGCGAGTATCTACCTGAGCTTAGCTTGAGTAAGGTACTCCGAGCTAAGGTAGGTAGGTAGGTACCTTAGGGAAATAGACGGGAAGGATGGGAATTGGAAAAGGAAGCTAAGACGGGTGCTTCCTACCTGACCTTACCTTAGGGTCCCGATCATGTCACCAAGTACTTAGTTTCACCCTCGCTTTCTCATGTATGTGATGGAAGGGAAGAACCTAAAGGGTGATATGAGGTAAGGTTAGGGCAACACGATCTCGAGGATGATGCCTCTCCTCTCCATGCTGCGCGAGACTCTACTTTTTTCCTCTCTTTATTTTTTTTTTTTTAAAAATGGATCAGGTCCCATACGGTACCACATTCCGGCTCGAAGCTCGCCCCTTGAGGTACCTTATGACGCGTGGGATCAATAGGTACCTTAGAGTCGGGCAGGAAAGAAGACAGCCGAGTTGAAGAGAGGACGCGAAACCGCCACACGAGTAATGAGGCAGTTGAAACGCCACAGTCGACGCTGGACTAAGGTAGAGATGAGGAAGGCGCTTACCTGATGAGTAAGGATGATTCCTCACTACATCCCAGTAGGTATGCAAAGAAGAAGGAGAAGAAACAGAAAAAGAAGAAAGCGCGGGAGGGAAAAGCGCGTTCGCAACCGTGGATGTGGAATAGAGGAAGGGACGATACAGAGCTATGAGGTAGGTGTGGAGAGCACAGACCACACATCGTGCGTCATTCCTCCAACAGCGCAGACGCACCTCGACTAAATTGATGGCAGGAGCTCCCGACGTCACTACCACAACACCTCTCCTGAGTCCTGTGCCTTCCTTCTGCCTCACCTACTACCTTAGTACCTGACCTTATTCTTGAGCCATGGGCATGGCATGTTAAGTGCGCAACCGATTTCTTTTAGATTTACCTAGGAAAGAACTTGTCATTGTGCCAAATTCCAAATAGCAAGCACCTTCCTCCTCCTTTTCTTCAACGTCTGCACCTACCTTAGAGCTAGGTAAGTACGTACCTTGCATCAATGGAAGGCGAGAGCCATCTCGGTCTAGTTCCTTCCCCAGTCTACAGTACCTAGGTATGAATGAAGCATTTGGAGACATCCGTCACACCAAGCAGGAAGTCAACGAAGCCAAGCGGTTAGAATTTGCATACCGGTAGTAACCTTCCAATTCCCCGTCCACAATTCTCCATTTGTGAGATCGACATTCCATCTTTATCACAGATTTGCCGCACAACAATTGAACTTCTATAACGGCACGCATCGGTACATAGCAGACATTGCAGAGTCCACCCAACGCCTCCAGTCTCTCCACACATCTTCCGTATACGGAGTACTGCCGGTATTCAGCCTCATGGACATGACCTCATCGTCCCATTGCCAGAGACAGAGACAGAGGCAGAGAGACATTTACTTCGTTATTCACCAATGTCACCACACGCGCTGCAGTGTAGACAGCCAGCTATTCGAGCCGTGATTGGAACCAGCCACACTCTGTCTGCCCTACGGTCTACCTAAGGACCAAGCAAGGTATACGAATGCCACCAGGGAACACAAGCTCCGTCGTCCACTCACATTCGGCTTGTTCCATCACTAATTCATCATCCCAGCAGATAATGCGCGCCTTCTTGCTAGCTCCGCCCAAGTCGAGCTCACCGAACCCAGCCAAAGTCTCACCTCCCTTGTCCAAGAAAACAATCATTGGGACTTGGGGCTCCACCTCAAAAGATACACACTGAGGCTCGCAACTTGCTTTGGAGTACCGCATCGTACTGTTTACCTACATCGCCGCCGCCGTGGTTACTGAGAGAACTGCAAAACAACGACTCCCATGGCATTCTCGATGCCGGGCTGACATGTGCGACACTGTATTCTCTTTGTTTGATTACCTATCAGCAACCATGAATACAAGCAGCCATCCGATCGTGGCATTCTCGTATCAACTGTACATCTTACCAGCCAATGTACCATGCAGCTGACCCCTGCGCCTCCAGCTTCACCGTGCGCCACCCCCAGACCGTCTGGTCCGTGAGCTGAGCAAAACCTCCGGCTCCATGACGATGCGATCTCGATGTCATCCAACTCCCGCTTACTGGCTCCCCCGTGGTTGGCTTGCGTTTTCGATGTTTTTCTGCAATACCTGCTATCTGCGAGACGTTGTCGGTCCTCTCGTACGAGGAACCAAATACCTATCTGCACCGACGAAGCCCCCACGTATCTACTTTCTCGATCATGACACGATTGCCATCCATAAGCACCTAATGATTGGGCGGCTCCCTACCTCGGACTCACGCGCCACATTGGAACGATGAGATACCCGGCTGGTTGAACAACACAGCACCGCCCGTTGGCTTTGGGTAAATAGACACATAGACTGTTGCAGTATGGTTGCACAATTGCGATTACACAGGATGACTGACAAAGGTGCTTCGAATTTCAAGGTTACACAGTGAAAACTAAACAACACCATAATGCAATATTCGACTCCTGCTCCATCGCACTAGGGTATCTGGAGGGCCACGTAAAGAAAGGAGGCGGACGATCTTCCAAGCCAGCACGGCCCGGTCACATCACACGCACTGCCATCCGCCCCGCCGCAAGCCGAGCCGGGACTGGTGGTGTGATACCGGATCCGTCTTCAGCAGACCCGCCCTCCGGCACCGGCGGCGCCGGTGCGGTCGCTGCCCTCGCTCGGGTCTCACGCGTCTGCCAATATTGACTTCGGCAAACGGGACAATCAAATCTCTCAATCAAGAACCACGACGAGAGACACTTGGCGTGGAAAGCATGGTGGCAGTTCTTCAGCGTCAAGATATCATCTTCGGACGGTTCACTTGCAGACGCGGACAACTTCCTCTTCCACGGCCACGGCATACTCCAGCTTCGCAATATGGCCTTTACATCACGAACCTCATTCGTACCTCCGACCGTAGACCGGCTTGTCTCTTCCCCGCTTCCTTCTAGAACACGGGTGTGCCCACCGAAATCGGGGGCCGTCAGGGTGATCCCTTGCGTCGGTACTGCTCCGGCAGCATTGCAGTTGCTTGAGACGAACAGTGGACCGATACAGATGGGACTATCGGTGGCAGCGTTAGCGACCTCGGTGCATTATGCATTGGCAAACTCTGTCATCGGCTTCCCCCGCGGAGATAGCGCACGCCTCCTACCCAAGGCTTTCCCCGCAGCGAACAACTTGGCGAGAGATACTCACCATTCCGGCTCCGAGTCATGCCGATTGAGCTTCGACTCGAGATCCAACCCCTCGAGGGTAGTGCTATTACACTCGGAAACTGTGCTCAATTTTCGTCGGGCGTCTTGGAACTTTGATGTCTTGGGATGATATTTGCGACGGTCTTGTATGCGCAGATATGTGAGGCGGACTCTAGCAACACGCGCGCTCATCAGCTCCTCGTCGCAATCTTGCTTCGGAGAGGGGGGTTCAGTACGGTCTGTACAGCGGCCCGCAGACGAGAAGGACCATGAAAAGCGTAAGCAAAATTATGCCAAGTTCGTCCATGCAGCCGATGGGTGCCCGACGATGGGCATGCCAGACTCCTTGACCGACTTGAAAGTGATAACGAGCACTTCTTGCGCTGGTTAATCGCGAGTTCTTCAATGCCAACAACAGGCTGTGTTGTGGCTTTCAAAAGCTGCACATCGCATCTGTGGTCAGAAATGCGGCGACGGCGACCATTTAACTCGGCGGATGTCGACAAGCGGCGGCGCAATCAAGGCTGATCAGATGACAACAGACGCTACATAGGCCGACAAGGCACACCTACAGAACCCTCATGAATGGCTGGAGTCAAGAGCCGAGTTGGTGATACGCCAGATGCGAGCTCTCTGCCATCAGCCACCAATACCCCTCATTCACCAAAGAGCACCGGCGTTCAGCTATGGTGTTCTCAGAGCTGGGCGCCCAGCCTTCCTTCCCAATCGCTGTTTGCTTGAGATAACAATGAGTTGACGAGTTCCAACTTTCAACAAGGCCACGCATGCCTTATTATCTTTGATTTGCTCTATTCATACCAGCTCAAAACCCTCACGATATCGTTCTTCGTGGGCCAAGAACCTTGGCTGCGAATTGCACCGAATCAGACGCCTGTTCAGATGCAACTCTTTCTGGGGGCCAGATAAAATAGCCCTGGTTTGTGACGTAAAACTGGCGTGTCATACTGGTCTTGGTATCCTTGGTAAGCGGCGGAACGCCTCTACTACCTTGCCTCCGTTTCCCAAACAGAGGCCGATGAGTCTGTCTGGACTCCTACGTAAAGACACTGGACTGCAACGGGGCAGGGGACGAAACACAAAAACGAAGCAACGGAGGGGTTGATTGACCTGAAATACCCTTCCTTACCTTTTCAGTGGATGGGCTGGGGAATATTGGGGTGACGAGGACTTTCACCAGGGAGTGCCCCTCCATATCCCCTCTACCCCTCCGGAAAGTTGGAAACTTTGGAATGAACCTCCATGGAGACCCCAACATTTGGAGGTGAGTAACATCTACGGAGTACTCCAGACTCCAACTATCCAACAACAAGACGCACCCACGAACCCCAGGAGAGCCGGCGGCGGCGCTGGAGGAGAGGAAAGTGGACTCTGGAGGAGCGGCGCCGGCGCCCAGCAGGCCGGCCAAGAACCGCCAAGTTGCCCGCCATCCCTTGGCTGCCAGACTGACCTACCAGCGGCTCAACTCTTCTCATTTGCAACCCACCTCATATGTCCACCTCGGGGCGGCCAAGACGTCCGCTGTCCAATACCATCAGCTGACCAGTGTCTCTTGCGACACTGAATGGAGAAATGCGATGAAGCATGCTGGAAGGATTTGGCAAAGACCCTGCTCCGAGTATCCCGCAAACGTGCACTAGCATGATATGCGGGAAGGCGTGGTTGTAGCTGGATAGGCCGGGCTATTCGCGGCCTTGTTTCCTATGCCCAGGAAACATCGGCCTATCTGAGGGGCTCACGATATCTCTCTACACATTTCGATGAGTCTCCGAATTGGGCTCCTACACTTCTCGCCCAGTATCTAGGCGTCTCACTCGGGGTGGCTGTGTTTCTGGGCAGACCCGTTCTTCCCCCGCCTGCGTTGCGCCCGAGTTGTCGTGAGTCGGTGATACTGGGTCAAGATCCCGGTTCATGTTCGTTCTCTCCACGTTCCTCGCAGCCGTAATTTGAGTAGACTCTGGGCAGGCGTTCTCGTGCGCGGGGTTCAAAGCAAGCCATGAGGGGAGAGGTTGAGAGGAATAGCGATGGCAAGACTTCGACTGACGTTGTAAAGTGCAGATAGTGTGAGTTGAATATGGTCGTCCGGGTTGACGGGGCTCGGAGCCCGCCGATCAAATTCGAACCCGCATATTTACGGCTGGGAATCTTCGAAGACTGACCGAAAACATCGGGAGCTTTTGCGACTCTGATGGTGCCGGCATCTTGCCCTCGGCGCCGAAGACGTTCAACAACCCGTCCGCTCACCTGTAACGACCCGGACAACAGATGGCGCTTTATAGTTGTGCAGAGCTCTGAGAGGCCTCCTAAGCAGATGGTGCGGCCGTTGTCGTATGCTGTGTGCGTCACCTTCTGACGCCCGTCACTTACAATTCCGGACCTGGCATGTCTAGGTCCTGACCATGAGGAGGAGCCGGAAGAGCAGGAGGAGCCAGTTGATCGCCGTGCAGCCGGCAGCAGGGAGAGTGGGGAACGGCGGGGAAAATGGCACAGAGAGCCCCTCGTTGCGATGCCCCTCTACCAAACACGAGTCTTGAAGAGCTGTTTCCGACGTACCAACCGCGCTGCCCAGGAAACATGTTAGCTTCTGGGCACTTTCTTTGGATGTACACACATCCCTGCGACGGCCATGATCGTCACCCGGCGGCGTCTTTCATTTCTAAATCTATTGTCCCTATCCGTACATATGGGACACCCCGGAGTAAGCTCAGCGACACTGAGCTAGACTCGGCCTTACCGCAAGCCCGCCGGTGTTACTCTTCAGACCTGTCAACCCTTCAGCCTACCTTAAACTTTGAGAAAACTGTACGGGTACGGTCTACGACCAACCACAGTATACGATATTGGCACTATTGCAGATACACTACTGCAGAGGTGACAGCACCCCTGCAACTGGCAACCTTCTAGAAGGAGGGCATCCCCACAATGGATGTTTCTTGGAAGGTAGAGAGATGTCTTACTGGCCGGAGGCGTAGTGGAGAAGGCAAGAACTCTCGTCTCCTGTCTTTCTGGGCGCAGCCAAATTCATCACCGAAAGCATCGATCCCTCAACCTCACCCACCCCCTCCTCCATGCTCTTGTCTCTGGCGGGTCCAATTGTATTCCCCATTACAATGCCCAGCACCGCTCTCAGCCTCTCGAGGAGCTGGCTGCCCAGAATGAGGCCCGCTGCCCAGAGTCTTGGCGGCTCAACATGGCAGGCGAGGGCGTCAAGATCCAAACAAGATCTGGATTGCGTGCTATTGAACCGCTCGCGTGTTCACGACCGATTTTCGGTCGAACAGCTTGAGATTGCTCCAACATCATGGAAAGCCTGGGGGTACCCTGGAAAGAGCCCCGCGCAGAGCCGCCAAGGCTGAAGGAATGCGCCCTCGACACCCATGAGAACGCTTGTCACGGACCGCGAGGAGATTGATAGATGTGGGCGTTTTACGCCCCCCTCGTACTGTCCGTCTATCTCTTTATGAAGTCATAACGCCCAGAGATGATTCCCCGTCCTGGGTCACCAAGTACATGTATACATGTTCTCCCAACTCCCCTCTCGAATCTTTGGCTTTTTGTTCCTCATCCCTCTCGACATACTCTGAATCAAGTCTTGCCACGAGCTTCTCTTCATTGTCTTATCTTTTCTACTCATGCTTGACTGTTCTCTTGACCTAAAGGGGGTAGAAGTGCTTGAACCTGGATAAGAGCAGAGCACTCACACTTTTGCCCGTTCCAGTCCGTATTCGTCCAAAGACTTACACATCCCTCCACTCCGATTGGTCCTAGCGACCGCTCTTGGAATCTCTTGGAGAGCTTCTACCAGGTGATTCGGAAATTTGTTTATCATTACTTGTCTTCTCGCTGTTCACGCTCAATCGATTCACCCTTTCCCCCGGTGAACAACTATCAACATGGGGAAGAAAGATCCCGAGGCTGAGGCTATGGCCAACCACATCTCTGGGCAGTCTAATAAGCCCATGTCCAGGCCGGCACATGCTTTAGCTACCGAGCAAGTCGTCCAGGAACTGAGAGCCAACCCAGACGACGGCTTGACACCCGAGGACGCTAAGACTCGTCTCGAAGAGTATGGCCGCAATGAATTTGGCGCCGATAAGGGCGTTCAGCCCGTCAAGATATTCATTGGACAGATTGCCAATGCAATGACCTTGGTATGACTTCTTCGCCTTCTTCATTCTTCTATACAAAGAACGACAGACTGACCTAGGCATCACATTAGGTTCTGATCCTGGCCATGGGTGCTTCTTTTGGCATCAAGTCTTGGATCGAAGGAGGTGTTGTCGCCGGTGTCATCTTCCTAAACATTACTGTCGGCTTCCATCAAGAATTCAAGGCCGCAAAGACGATGGATTCCCTTCGATCACTTAGCTCGCCCACTGCTCAGGCCGTACGCGAGGGCCGCAATATCACCGTCCCCACCGTCGAGATTGTCCCTGGCGACATGGTCGAGCTCAAGACTGGTGACACCATCCCCGCCGACGTTCGCATAATCGAGGCCGTCAACTTTGAAACAAACGAAGCCTTGCTCACGGGAGAGTCTCTCCCCATCCGCAAGGAGGCTGCTCAGACTTTTGATGATGAGACTGGACCTGGTGACCGCCTCAACGTCGCATACAGCTCTTCCACCGTTACGAAGGGACGTGCCCGTGGTATCGTCTTCGCTACTGGGATGTATACCGAAATTGGTCAGATTGCTGCCGCCCTTCGGGGCAAGAACTCACGCCGCCGAGAGGTGAAGCGTAAGGAGGACGGCTCCGCCACCTTTGGGCGCTACCTTCAAGCATGGACTTTGACCCTTTCCGATGCCGTCGGACGCTTTTTGGGCGTCAATGTTGGAACACCTCTACAGAGGAAGTTGTCCAAGTTGGCAATCCTTCTCTTCGGTACCGCGGTCGTGTGCGCCCTGATCGTGCTGGGAGCAAACAAGTTCAACACAACGCAGGAGGTCGTGATTTACGCCGTTGCTACTGGTCTTGCGATGATTCCTGCCTCGCTGGTCGTGGTCTTGACTATTACCATGGCTGCTGGCACGAAACGAATGGTCCAGCGTCACGTTATCGTCCGACAATTGAAGAGTTTGGAGGCCCTCGGTGGTGTTACGAGTAGGTTCACACCAAAAGCACTAATAACACTTACCAATGACAGATGCTAATCCATCCGTAGACATTTGCTCTGACAAGACCGGAACTCTTACCCAAGGGAAGATGGTTGTCCGCAAGGCCTGGGTTCCTGGAAAGGGTACCTTCTCCGTTAGCAACACTAACGAGCCCTTCAATCCTACAACGGGCGATCTCGGTCACAGTTCTGGCCAGCCCAAAGACATTAACTTCAGTTCCAAGGAGGGTGATGGCGAGCCATTCTCCAATGCCGAAGCTGAGGATCGTCTGAAGGAGAGCACCGTTCTCACGGACTACTTCAACGTCGCATCCCTCGCTAACTTGGCCAATGTCCACAAGACTCCAGAGGGAGAGTGGCACGCCCGTGGTGATCCTACCGAGATTGCCATTCAGGTTTTCGCATCCCGCTTCAACTGGAACAGGCTGCGTCTCGCTGGCGAGTCCAACCGGTGGCAGCAGATTGCCGAGTTCCCCTTCGACTCCGATGTCAAGAAGATGTCCGTCATCTTTGAGGACACTCA